GGAGAAAAAACATGGTGCAAAAATATGCATTGATATGGAAGTTCAGAGCATTAAATATATATGGTGCAATTATGCAGTATTTTGGTTTGGTGTTAGTTTGATGCAGAGTCTTTGACTTGATTTAGAGTTTCAACAGTTCATCAGTGTGATGGCGGTGGGGAAGAAGCTACAGCAGAACTTGCTGGTCCTGCATTGAATGCTGTGAAGCCTCTTCCCAGAGGGCAGCAGGGAGAACAGTCCATGGTGGGGGGGTGAGGGGTCATTGATGATGTTAGGGAATTAGGACACGCAGCGCTGGGATGAAATGTCTTTAATGGAGGAAGAGGAGTCCCCATGATCCTCTCTACTGTTCTCACCTTCTTCCAGTCTGAGGCGCTGCAGCCTCCACACCACACAGTGAGACAGCTGGTCAGAACGCTCTCTATGGGGCTTCTGTAGTAGTGTTAATTTTAGCAGCCATTTTTAAATTTAGTTTTAGTTTCAGTCCAGTTTCAGCATCGCTTGTTAGTTTTTATCACATTTAGTCGGCATCATCCCATTTTTATTTAGTCTAGTTTTAGTCGACTATAAGTCAGAGCATTTTAGTCTTTATTTTAGTCCAAGAAAACATAATTTTATTTGTTTAGTTTTAGTCAACAAAAACCGTCAACATTTTAGTCTAGTTTTAGTCAGGACATAATTTTAACCTTTTACTTTTTTGTCAGCAGATAATATTTAACATTTCCTAAAATTATTTCACATGTCAACATTTTCTCTCATCTTTTTGATAAAAAACAAAACAAAACACAATTTTAAGGAACACATGCAGACATGGAAGATGTTCTGACAATATTTGCATATTTATTTTGAACATTGTTAAGGTTCAAAGACACAAACACAAATGCTTGCATTAAAACAAATAAAATACACCTGACAAAGGAAACAAATAAATAAAATAAAGTGTCTTATGAACTTAACACAAGTGCTGGCTGTTTAAAACTAGTTCACATAGAATAATAAAATAAATAGATTTGAGATCAATGTTGTGAAAAAAAAAAAACTCCAACTGGTACAACAAAAGTGCTTTCCTGCCAGCTAGTTCACATGGTATATAAAGGTACAGTATTTATGGTGAAACAAGGCATAGCTTGCTGGTCCTGAGAGTCAGCTTTGTATTTGGTGTGAGAAATTAAGGAAGCTTGTATAGCTGGCCTGTCATTGTTTCTGGGTGGTTGTTGGTGGTGGTGTATCTTTAATCTGGAACAGAAATAATACAATGTCAGGATATATGCACAGCATAACAGGAATTCCAAGTGTATAAGGAGCATATAGGTCTGTTTTTTTCCCTTAACAAAAACTAAGTTTCTGTAAAAACTACATTTGACAATCCATTTCAGTCTCATACAAACAACCTAACTATCATTTTATGCAGGAATAAATTGCAGACATTTTTATGTGTGCATGCATTTTGGTTGTATTAATATTAATTAATATTGATTTTTGAATCCCAATCCCTGCAGTGGTTCCCCTAGCAATGGCTATTTTGTGTATGAAAATCTAGGTTAAAGTTGTTCTGAATAGTTTCAGTTGGTTTTAGCATTTAGCATACATGTGTAGCTGCCGAGGTGTTTTGTGTTAACTATAGTTCACTTGCAGCTCCTAGATTACCTAAAACGTCTGTCTGCTTTAATCAAACTTGCAATTTAACTGAAACTATAGTTACCCGGTGTGACAGATCAACTGGGGAGGAGATCAACTGGTTAGAATCTATGCGTACTGCAGATGTTAAATGAAGCTTAGGTGGCCGTGTAAATGCCTGATGAAAAAGATTCCAAACGTAACAAAACTGCTCACCAAACTCAACCAGATATATCAAACGAATGAATTCCTGCTTCTTTCCGATTCGAACAATGTGGCAAATAACGTATATCCACAGAAACCCACACGAAGAACAGCGTCTTTCACAAGACCAGATTAAGTTGTGAAACAAATTACTCGCATACATGCATACATAAATCTAAATGCTGGCATACGGCTATTGCAGAAATGCTACGTGAAATTGGACTGTCCCTTCGTTTAGTGACAAATGTCCCGAAAAAAGATATATAAACAAAAGTCTTTGTCATAATGAAGTGGAATGTCGACTGCTCACCATCTGCTCAAAATCAACACCTACAGCTTGGAGGAGAAAGTCCGCCCACTATGTAAATTCCTGAAGGTAAATATAAATCCAAGTGGGCTTGTAATTCAAAAAGTAACGCATGTGTAAGCACAGGGCCGTGGAGAGACCACTAAAGGGGCAGGTGCTCAAAAAAAAAAGGGCACATCTTATCGCATTTTAGGACAGAATATTAACAAAGTCACATAGCTTTCAGAGTTTAATGAACAATGATAAATTACAAAATTGGGAGACATACAATCAAAGCTAAGGGAAATCTCTACATAGAACATAGAACTATGCATATGTAACATATTTTATTAGTAATTTCTTTCTGCAGGTCTATTTTGTTATAGGAAAGTATTACAATATTCAAACCTGCAATTTAGCCAAAGATGTAAATCAGAGCTGGACCACCAGACATATTTTGTCTTTACAGAATTAAACTGTTAAAAATGCATATAAGGGCAAAATGCAACCTTTTAGTGTACTGTAATCTATAAAAAAGAATGTCTGCCTGGTTTGCTGTACTGACAGTGGAGATGGAGACGGTCCATTCAGAAAAGCAGAGCTGCTGCATCAAACTTTAACGTGGAACTGCAGAAAAAAAAGAACAAAAGCAAACATTTTATTAATGCATGTCACCATGAGAAAAGCCTACTCTGTTTGTGTCTTAGTGTATTTTGTAAGTACCTATATACATTTTCTTCAATCTTTCCTCTTTGTTTTTTCTTGTCAGTTTCTCTTTTCTTTTTTTCTTCATTGACTCATCTTTTCTGTGTTGAGTGAAGGTCAATGTCTTATTTATTTCAGTCTCTTGCCTTTCTTTTCTCCCCAAACTAAATCCAAGATTATGATCCAAAAACTTATTTTCCGTCATGGTGATTTTACTGTTTAAAAACAAATTTCCAACTTTTAAGCATTTTTGCTATTTTTGTTCTCTTTTGTTCACAGCAGCAGTTTTCTGTTAGCCATGTCTTTAAAAATGTTAATAACCTCACTGTGAATGATTGGCACATCCTTCTCGATTGCCAACAAAAGAAGGTCTGACAACCGATCCTCCTTGCATAAGCTGCGCAGTTTTGTTTTCACCAGCTTCATACATTATATCTATCATATATCTATCATGGTAGTTCTGGATGAGTTCTCCTTTAAGATACATTTACCTAACGCTAGAATAAATGAAATGTACATCATGCAGCAAAGGAAATTAGAAAATCAGACATATATCCATTATGGAGATGATAGGTTTTTGACGGGCGATGTGCCCCTATTGCATAAGTAATACTGAAGAATGTCCTACTATCATTAACGACACAGGGAAGCTTTTTAGTTATCTTGCTTTGCTAGCAAAGTCATTAGCTAGCAGCTAGCTCATAGCACAAGAACAACAGCCTAATGTCTGTATGATAAAAATACTGAATCGATAGATAAGAACAGCTGTTCCTCATCTGGCTCTCTCCTCCCGCTCAGTAGTTCTTCAGAGAAAGGCGCGCCGCGTCCTATACTTTCCTCCGTTTAAACCGCTACTCTTTGCTAAAGTAGAGAAATTATACAACGTTCAAAGTTTTCCGTTGTCTGACAAGTAGGAAGCCTACTCCAGTATTTTCACCAAAAATTATGTTTTTTAATTCACAAAAAAACTGTTCTGTAATCATTACAGAACAGTTTTTTGTGAATTAAAAAACATAATTTTCAATGTAAAAGACTAAAAGCACAGAGCAAACAGTGTTTTAGATCAAACAATACTGCATCATCCATGGGGCTCATTTGGTTTCACTTATATGTCTATTCAGGTTGACATTGGAGAGGCGGTGCAGACTGAAGAAATAGCCATCCGTCCGATCATGGTTGATCTTGCTTAGGGCCAAATGAGCAGCGGCCACAGTGTAATGTGGAATATTCGCTACCTTTAGCTCCGCAGTTAGCCGCCTTATCTGACTGTGCGAGAGGCAAGTGCGTCGTCACCGGCAAAAGGTCAAAGGTAACAACGTGACCGGAGGGCTTACTGTATTGTTTTTCTTGCCAAAAAAAAAAAGATAATAATAATAATTTCAGTACATGTGTCAAATAAAAAAAATTTAGAAAAAAAAAAAAAAAAAAAAGGGACCAAAAGGGCACATTGGGATCATGGAGCAAAAGGGGCAGGGGCTCAAGCCCCCTTAGCCCCCTCCTCTGCACGTGCCTGTGTAAGCACCATGTCAAGAAAAGATTGGATAACTGATTGCATTGAGTTAATGTTGTCAAATAAATGCCTGTTATTGCTTTTATTCTCCCATTGACAATATCCCTACATAGTTTCTTAATGTGATGTTGTGAATAATGTATTGATATATTGATTTAATAAAAATTGTCTTTATTTCAAATTGTCTTTCATTCTTCTTTACAGTATTAAAAATATATGTGCATTTCATTGAATGTGACTGCAAGAAGTAAATATAATATTCAGACAATCAATCTGATGATAGACACAGGCTACTGTACCAGTAAGTCAATAAAGCAGAGGGTAAGTAATTAAAATGAGAAATATAAAAACGTTAGAGCACATACTATGTCCAATGTAAGTATCTCATTATGAATGAACACAGTTGTAACACCTAAATTAACTGGGCTATTTAAATTAAAGTATGACATTAGGCTGAACATGTCAATACATTATTAAAAGGAAAAGAGCCATGCCAATTGGAATTAACAAGGATCTGAAACAGCTTAGGGTATTCATCAGTAAAAATTTCAAACAGCTGTGACCGTTACATTAAAGCCTATCCACAGGTGTATTACATCAGGCTAGGACCTTTATAAAGCCATTGTAAAAAGAAATAATCCTCGTTGGGCTTGGAAGACGGGTGTAGTCTTAAGATAGAAAAAAACACACATTTTGAACATAGCGGTAGTAGGAGCAATTGTCTGGACCAGTTCTTGAATTTGAAATGGATCCCAGGAAACTCCAGGAAATCCTGGACCTTAAAATTCATAACAGGTACCCAGAAGGGGCAACCAGCAAACAGCGGTACATCATCAGACGACGATCATCTACCTTTGTTTTGCAAGGTAAGTGCTTTATTAGAAGCCAGTAAGTATAATTCCGTCATCTAAACATGATGGATATATTGTCCTAATGCAGTGGTGTTAAACTGCAGAGCAAATCCAACATACTCAAATCAACACTGTCAGACCCTTGAAGTTTCTATATGGTCCACACCAGCAAGTGTTATTTGGACTGTTTTTGGAGAGTTCCAATGTAACTCTTATTTAGTGTTAAATAATAAATTTTTCGGGAGATGAGAATTTAACACTTAAGACTCAGACCAGCTACCTGTTAGAATTGGAAGATCAACTGTTTGGGTGTCAAATCAACTCTAGGAGTTCCGAGTTGGTAGACAAAGTTTTTTTTTTTTTTTTTTTAACCTTTTATCAACTTATTATGTTGCCCTTTTTTTTTTTTTATTTGCTGTGTGGTTCCAGAAAGGGCTGCAGGTTCTTTCCAACCATCCAATAGCACTCCAGACTCCATCCATATCAAGCAAGTTCAATGTGAACATGATGACTGGAGTCTGTTGTGCTACTGATTGGTTGGAAAGGGAACCTGCAGCCACACAGCCCTTTCTGGAACCAGTTTTATACCCCTGTCCTGATGTCATGAAGCTTAATCTACTTGTATGCAGATAACTGTCTAATTAAACGTATGTATGAACATCTTAGATGGGGAACTGCATTACATATGCAGGAGGAAATCCAATAAAGAGGAACATCTGGCGAAGCTTGTTACAACAGCCGAGGAGGCAAACAGCATCTTCATAGAATTTCATGCCAGTGAATTAGGTGGACACTGTGGGTGGGAAAGAACCCACTGTTCCATTGCCAGCCACTATTACTGGCCTGGTATAGAAAGGGACATCCAACAATGGGTGAGTATTTGGCTATGTGTTTCATTCTATCCATTAAGGTCTTTTAGTTCAGTGTCGACTTTCTCAATTTTCTTTAGGTTGCTCAGTGTCCTCAATGCCAAAAGAAAAGGGCAACGATCAAAGAAAAGTCTGAATACAGTCCCATAGAGGTAGGAAGAATCAGAACTGAGGCAGATGTGAAATGTGTATGTACTTGAAGTGAAGAATATACAATTTATCTCCTAAACAGGTGACCAAGCCATTGGAACTGGTGGGCATGGATCTAGTGGGGAAACTCACAGCAACTAATGGTGGTAATCAGTACATTTGTGTAATCACTGATTATTTCACCAAATGGGCAGAGGCCTACCCACTAAAAACAAAATCAGCAGCTGAGGTCACCAGTTGTATACTTGATTTTATTTTTACAAATTTGGTGCACCTCAAAGGCTGCTTACAGACCAGGGCACAGAATTTCTCAACAAGGTAAGTACTGAGAAATAATTTCACAATAAGTGGAGACAGTAGTGCTGACTTCTCATTCTCTTAGGTGAACTATGGTTTGTGTGAGAAATTAAATATCAAAAGAAGTTTGTGCTCGCCATATCACCCACAAACCAATGGGCTAGTGGAGAACCTAAATGGGACAATTCAAAGGTTGTTTTTCAAACCTATCAAACATCTTGGTAATGTGGAGCCTTACCAAAACTGTGACTAATGGAATACTAACCCTCAAGGTCCTTGAACAAATTGGTTGCAGACCATCCCCAGAGATGGGATGAGGTGCTGCAACCAACAATGTTTGCCCTGCGGACCAAACGACATTTTACCACCAAACATTCCCCATATTATTTGATGTTTGGCAGGGAGGCCAGGTATCCGTCACAGATACCAACACAATATGAGGTAAGGTGTGCACACATCTTCCCTGTTGGGGCCAATACTATGTCACAACACATTTTCTATGCTTGCTTACAGATCACTGATCAAAAGGTGGAGAGGCTAATTTCACAGGAGGTTGTGAGCCGAGGCCTTTCTGATCAGGAAAAAACATACCGGGAAGTGTCCGCAAATATTCAAAGGAGTCATGAAAAGGTTAGGCAGAGGAAAAGGCAACGGGGTGAGGAGGACAACTTTAAGGTGGGTGACAAAGTTCTTCTAAAGAACATCAGGCAGGAGCAAAGGAAGGGGGGGGAATGGAGGCTGACATGTTGGATCCCCTGATGATCACCAAAATAGAGGGCAAGAGTGCAGACCTTGTATCGGAAAAGGGGAAAGCAAAGATCAAAATTAATGTCGATCATTTAAAACCGTATATAGTTCAGAAGCAAAGGATACCCTCAAAAATGAGGGTATTTGAAAGGTATTTGGGCAGGTCGTCATCGCAGTAAAATCTGGAGTCGGATTGGGCCATATAAACTATTCTCCGACAACATCATGGACCTGGCACCGGGGAAGGAGTTGGAGAGTGAGGTAGTTAATTTTATTTGTTTTTTATGGTCCTTAATGTAGTTTGGACACCTGTTACGTGGTAACTTTTAAAGATTTGGATCTTTGCAGGTGATCAATGCATACCTGTCGTTACTGGGTCGGCAGACTGGGGCATTGATAATAGATTCTTATCTCATGACCTCAGAGTGGCAGGGGGCTGTGAAAGGTCGTAAGAAGGCAAGTATCATTGCATAGACCAAAGAATGGTGGATTCAGAGTTTGTTAAAGTATTTCTTTTCCAGGTGCCTTTGATGTCGTACAATGTAGTGGCAGGGGCAGTTTGTCACAACAACCACTGGATGCCTATTGTGAGTACCAAATGAGTTATCAAATGTTGTACCAGATCTTTCTGACCCACTTTATACTGGACAGGTTATTTACTCAATGGAAAAGAGGGTCGTTTTTGTCGACCCCTTTGGGGCAACTGAAGCGCAAATCAATAGGTGCCAGTAGATGACCAGGTATGTCATTGAGAGAGGTGACAAATGTACTATCACAATACATGCTTATCTGACTGTTTGAATGTCATAATGCAGAGCATTTGTACGCAAACAATGCCTGGCCATTGGGAGATGGGAATGCTCCACAGTGCCTCACCCAAGGCAGCAGGACAGTACATCATGTGGCGTTCTTGTGTGCGCAGTAAGCAGACATTGTACAATGTGGCCCAGCGAGGCCAAAAACTGATGACTGCAAATCTTCAGATTGCAGAATGTATATTAAGGGGTCGAGAAGCTGCCTTCCCTGTCCATGCTGAGGGTGTGTCCAAACTGAGGCTGGAAATGGCAACGGCTCTGCTGGCAAAGATGGGTAAACTACTGCAGCCACTGTGTACTTATAATGAATCCATATAATGAATCCGTACTTATAAGGAATCCATCCTTGCCCTAATACTTATGTTTGCAGATGACCTTTCGGATTTGTGTTGGGCATGTGGGGAGTTCAGCTCTGGAGCTGCCACAGATGACTGGGTAAGTCGGTGTGTTGAACACGACAGCTTATTTTGAATGCCTCAGGTACACCTTTTTGCTAATGTAATGCTTCACCTAAACCCATAATTTATTTCCTAACCGGAGTCAAATTATCTGTATCGTGTCTTCAGATTGAATGCAATAGCTGCTCTAGATGGTATCACTGCGCCTGTGTAGGATATCCATCCACAGTGGGAGAGTATCACTGCCAGGCCTGTGAGGAATAATCCATCCGCAAATTTGCAAAGGTCTGTTTTGTCTTTTAGCTTTTGGGGTTGGAGGGCTTGACAGCCACCTCCAGATGCTGACTTTATGCAAATTTTTAATTTCCCTCTTGTTATCTTACCGACGGAACTTCTCCACTGAGGACTCCATCTCCTCTGCTCTTCACCTTAACCTGGTACACCTGGAGAACGGCCATGTTTTGATGCCGATTCTGGACTTCAGCTCGGCTTTTCAAACAATCATTCTACAGCACCTAATGGGATTACTGGAACAGCTGGGCTTCACTACAACCCTCTGCAATTGGCAGCTAGACTTCCTCACTGACTTCCCTCAGTCAGTCCAGATCGGACAAGACACCTCTCTTATCAGTCTAAGCACAGGCTCCCCTCTGCTGTTCACCCTGATACACGACTGCGTCCCCAGGTTCACCACCAATTACATGGTGAAGCTTGCACCTTTAATTTTTTTGCACTGCATTGTTCCAAATATGCCCTCTGAACCATAAAGTTAAACTGATCAAATTGTGATCACTGCTGCACTTTAGAAATGGTGATTTTCATTGCACTGTAAGTTGCTCTTTCACAGGTAATGCTGTATGCATCCAGATTTGTTTTGTCCAAAAATAAAGTTTGTCTAAATGAAACTGAGTGAATTTCAGTTGTCCGTGTCCTCTCAATGATTTCAAGCCTGATTTCAACCCTTTCCAGCTAGAGTTCAAAGCGTATCTGACAGTAGCTTTGCCTTTGACCACCCATTCACCTCTATATTATATCTCCATTTGAGAGCACACATGGATCTACTGACAGCTAATTTGAAACAGTTCCAGAATATTTTAGCATAATTTTGATTTCCAGACTGTTGGGATCTGGAGCTGTACCACCTTCTTCCAGCAGAGTGCGCCGTGGATCCTCCTGAGCTGAGCCTTCCAACACACCTGTGGCGCATCTTGTCATTAGAAGACCAGCGCTATATAACCTGCCTTCAGACCTTGCTTCAACGCCGCAGTGTTGATCTAGTTTGGAATCCTGTCTCTCCCTGAGGGTCTGGATGAGCTTAACCTGCCGAGCCTGCCCTCGTGAGCCAAACCTGAAGACTCTTCTGTGGATTCCCCTGCAGCTCTTGGCTAAGAGCTGGAAACTCAAATCAAGGTCTGCCCTCAAAGTCAGAAGTAAGACACTGAAGCAATTATTGGACTCTGCTGAACAAACAGTCTCTGGACCCAACAGTTTCCTCTCTCAAAGAGAAACCCGAACTCCTTCAAGGTATTCCTCAGAAATATCTAAGACTCATAACTCATCAGTCCGTTTGCTAACTGAACTGTCATCCCTGCAGACTCCAGTGAACCTGACCAGTTCCAGTGCAATTTTCATGTGCTTGTGTTTCAATAAACCTTGTTAAACTTTTATCCAGCCTCCGTGTGTGTTCTGCATATTGGGCTTACTCTGTAACCCATCATGACACAGACTGTATATTTATTTTTATCCTAATATGTCCTGCTGATTGTGTGAAAAGAAATTTATAAATGCAGGGAAAACAAAATGTCCAAGGATGGCTTTTTTTTTTTTTTTTTTGGAAGGCAATTATTTCAACGTTTCTATGGAAACTCATTTGGTCAGCAAAGCCCCTATCCCGACATATCACTGACTTCAAACTATTGGGCTTCTCATCCTTCCTTACAAATATTCCCACTTTAGATTCCATTCTCACATTGTGACAATTTCGAGGAGAACATCTTATTGCAATCTTAGTGTTCAGTCTGTATGCAATGTTAAGGTATGACACCATAACGGGTTGTGTCTCTACTGGTTTCACAGCCCCATATTTACAAAGGGGGTAAAATGTGTTTAGTCGCATTTCAGCGGATCAGATCTGATTTACGTGGCCTACCTGCTGATGCCGAAACGTTACTTATGTATTCACAGTATTTAAACTGCAGAGTTAGCAGCTACGACTACAGTGTGTGTATTCCACGCCATGCTTAACACTATATAAATCATGTAGAATGGAGATAAATCGGGGAAACTCTAAACTAGTTTAACTTGTGACTATCGGGGTCCACAACACAGCTGTTTGGAGGGATTAGGTGGTTGCGTGGTTGCCTGATCAAAATGCCGCAAATGTAAACAAACGGGTCAGAATAAAGGTTATAATTTATCCTGGCCTAATATCTATCCAACACACTTCTGTTGTGTGTGGATAATGTGAAATATGAGTAATTTAAGTTTGGGGGTCAAATAAATGCATCGTGAGGATCTGAAAGCGTCAGAATCTGCAGAGTGTCACAGATTAACTTGTGATCCAGCGGGAGCTGGAGGAATATGGACTGTAAAACACTCCATCTCCTGGGATGTTGTTTGGAGGTTATTTTCTTATCCTCAATTAGGGTTGTAGCAGGCTACGTTAAATTTGTAACTGTTATTATTGATTATTTTTCTTACCGCAATTACGAACCCGTCATGATGTGTGACCATGTTCACGTAGTCAACTGTCATCTTATTCCCTTCTATTGTTTTGAGGACACCACATTATTTGGTTTGCATGCAGAACATGTTTTTCAAGTTACTGACAATAGAGTATTGTTTTGTCTAGTTTTTACTATTAGTCTAAATTGTTTGCTTCACTGGTACAATTAGGACAAAAAAGCAACTCAGCACGAAACGTTGATTGCGATGAAATGTTTGTCTTTTAAATAATATTATCTTGCCCATCTTTGGAAAATCTGTTAAAATAAAACGAGGGCATAAAGATATCCATAGAGACAAACCCGCAGCCAATGTTGCCTTTAACTGCAAGGCGTCTCTTTACCTGCTGAGCTATTGATCCGAACAACTTTTCTGACCCCACCTGCGATAATCAACCTGTTGCGTGTGTCTGCTCAGCCTGTTGAACAGCTGGTCTAGATCAACTGGTGACAGTTAATGTTTCAGAGTTCGCTGATCGCTTAAAACATGTTGGAATTCCAGAATATCAGATATTATTACTGTTTTTTCCTTCTCTACTCTTAGAGCAGAATGGGGCCTCCCCGTTAAGAGATAGTTAGACAGTAAGGCTATGTTCACACTGCAGCCTGAAGTGACCCAATTCCGATTTTTTTGCCCATATGTGACCTGTATCTGATCTTTTTATGACAGTCTGAACTACACAGATCGGATTTTTTCAAATGCGACCCAGGCCACTTGGATATGTGGTCCTGAATCCGATACGTATCTGATCTTTTCAAATGCGACCTGTGTCTGTACGGCCAGGTCGCATTCATCCGACCTACACGTCATTGATACTTGACAAATGTTACTAAACGTTACTAATCTGCGTCCTACTAAGCGGAGGCGGGAAAAACTAACAACCATGGCGGAAGATAACACAGAGAGCAGTCAATGGAGAGAAAGTGAGGTTGCTGACTTAATTCATATTTGGAAAGATAGCTCGATTCAGACCAAACTCGAAGGGTCTTACCGGAACCGGGGGAGGGTCTTTCTTTTTGATCTTCTTAAAAAGTTTCCGTTCGTAATGTGCCTGCTCCTGTTGGAGAAGAACTTAAAGAACGCAATATACGCTGCGGTATTACGAGTCATGTTTACTTCCGCGAACACTGAGGACGCTTGCTACATGTGACGTCATCGCGTCCTCGAGTGCGCATGCGGGACACTTCGGTTGAACGCTTTCAGTTCACACAGTAGATCACATACAAGTCGCATATACTTGGAAGTGTGAACGGAGACGCAAAAAAATTCAGATTTCACGAAAAAATCGGAATTGAGCATTAAGGCCTGCAGTGTGAACGTAGCCTAAGTTATGCTATGCTATTAAAGGAAAAAATAATAACCAGACCTTTTTTTCGATCAGATATCTACCGTAAAATCTCCCTATTTTATTTCTTCATTGTTTGGTAGCAGTTAGCATGGAGGCTCTGCTGCTTCCTTTAATACTTTAGTACAGCAGGTTCTGCATTTATTCGCCCCGATGCCCAAAATATCACATATATTCACACAATATATAAACTGAATTCAGAGATTTCACTCTTCACCGCAGCAGTTATGTTATTTGGCTTTGTTCCTGCAACACATCTTAAACTTTAAAGACATGTATAACTCCTCTGGAAACTACGGAGCCCCTCTGATGACATGGTCAAAAAAAATGTTTAATTGTGGCCACGAAGTAGTATTTCGTGCGCACGAAGTAGTATTTCGCGGCCACGCATTAAGTATAACATGCGCACGAAATACTACTTCGTGGCCACGCAATAAGTTTAACGTGCGCACAAAATACTTATTAATAATATCAATAAATCCGCCCCTGTTTTCAGGCTTATGTTAACTGTAATGACTTATCTTGGACAGGCTGCTTTGTAAACGGGCCTTTAGTCCTTCGTTTAGCTATGCTGCGGTTGTTTACACTACGCCTTTTTCACCTAAAATGGCGTCTTAGCAACAAATGTCACGTGACTGGTGGAGACCGACTGGGTAAGCAAATCGAGCGTGCCTTAGACCTTAGAGAAGGCGCGCTCGATTTGCTTACCCAGTTGTCCAGGAATGATATTAATATTATTAATAAGTATTTCGTGCGCACGTAAACTTATTGCGTGGCCATGAAGTAGTATTTCGTGTGCACGTTATACTTATTGCGTGGCCACGAAATACTACTTCGTGGCCACAATAAAAATTTTTTTTGACCATGTCATCAGAGGGGCTCCGTAGGAAACGAGTTGGACTCCAAGTAATTAGTTTCCCTCCATATAAACAGTCGGCGCTTTTGAGAAAAAAAAAGAGGAGGATTTTATTTTCGCTCGTTTTAATTTACAAGACATACAGGACGACAGAAAAATGGAAAAAAATACACCGTTAGTTGTTCCCATTGACCTTTTATTGCACTGGCTGTTTTTACTTCTCATACAGCTTTCTGCGGTTTTTCTACTCAGTTCTTTCTCTCATCTTTCTCAAACAAACAGATAAACAACAACAGGACAAGTTCCTCAAATCTCTGTGTGCGGGTCTGGAGAAATCCCTAAAACATGCTATATGCT